CCTGCTGCTTAACGGCTTCCAGAGTCTGATCATTAAAGGCCATCTGAAATGAAACTGAATTGATAGGAAAGACCAAAATAAGCAATATTATATTAGACTTCAGAAATGCTGACAAGTATTGAGATTAGCCTCAAAAATAACAAAAAAGAACCTATTTTCTTAAACATGTTGATTTCCTCTCTTCTACCTCTCTCACTCTTAGATCTACTTAAATTGCAGTTCTGTGATTTTTGTGGAAACCACAAAAACCAGCCATCTCTGCAATGACTGTGAAAAACGGTCTTTCTCGTGATTTTGTGCAGAATCACCCCCCAAAATAAAAGTTTACTGGAATACAAAAAAAGTGTGGCAATCCCTGCAGCCATAGACCATGTGGTTTGAGAGAGAGCTACTCAGAGGCTGAGCTAGTAATGTAGACTCAATTAAGGTGCCATTCAGGAAAGTGAAAGGGTTTTGGCACCATCTTTTAAGAAGCCAGATGCAACACTGCATCAATCCTGCAGTCTGAAGATGCTGAGTGAAAAGAAATCCAAGGAATCTAAAGACATTTAATCTCAGGATCATGTAAGTAAGGCAGTTCTCTGTAGGAATCTTGCTTGCAGACGGTGGCAAATTGTTTTGTTCATCGTACAACACGGCTCTAGATGTATTGAAGAAAAACAGCATTGATTGGCATTGAGAGTCCAAATTTCATATAAAATGAAAGGCTGCTTCAGAGGCTGAAGGTCAGAGCAAGAAACAAGTGACTATGTCCTTGATTTTTAACAGGACCACTGCAGTTTGACAAGAAGAGAGGCTACATTCTAGAGAAGGCATTCAAGGCCACTGACATTCCTCTGGAGAAAATTCATAACCCTAAATTAAGGGACTACTTGAACAAATATGTGCTAAATGCTGGCAGATTCCTATGTGTGAACAAACTTCACCAAGATTATCTACTCGGAGTAATTGCTTCTCATGTTCAGTCTACAAAATTTACACTGGCAGAATATGAATTAATCTCAATTGTAGCAGATAAAAAAGCAGATGCCCAATATAACTATGTTCTGCATATTTTATTTGTATCTGCAAGCTGGACAGACCACAACCTGCCTGTTTTTCAAATAGAGCTGGCTCACCTCACATCTATCAATTTTTCTAGTGTGGCACAAGCTACAGTGAAGGCTATTGTGAGCTACAGCTTAGAATTTAACAAGATCTCATTATTTCTGTCTGATAATGCAATGTATATGTGCACAGCTTTCTCTGATGTGCTCCATGGATTGATGCCCAATGCAATTCATGTCACTTGCAATGCACACATCCTTTCTTTAGTAGGTGACATCTGGTGCACATGTTTTCCTGATGTGGATAGCCTGGCTTCCTTCTCTAAAAAAAGCCTTCAAACATCGTCTAGGCCAGTGTTTCTTAACCCGTGGGTTGCGAGAATATATGAAAGGGCCATGAACAAACTTTAAAAATGGATTTAAAAACATGGGAAACCAAAGTTTTTCCCTTGGAGTCCCAGCCCTCAAGGAGCTGCTTGGGGTACCCCCCCACTTTGCACACTGGGGGGGTTGGGGCCCGGGGGGGGGCACTGGGTAGGGATTGAGGAGCACTGGGTCGGGACTGGCCAATGTTTACAAATGAGTCCTGGTACAAAAAGGTTGAGAACCACTGGTCTAGGCTGTAAGCTTTGATACAGGGAATCCACTTCCAATCAAAGCAGGAATATTCATGCAACTCTGTCACTTCCACCAGAGCCAGTGCTAACACGGTGGAATTCGTGGTTTAACACAGCTCATTACCGTACAAAGACTATGAAGTTCTACCAGCAATTTGTATGCGAGGAGCTTGAAAACACACCCAGCAAATGGTGCATGCTTAAACTATGCGATCTCTTAAGAGAGGGTGACATTGAAGATCCAATTAAGTTTGTGGCTGAAAATGTGATTTGGTTCATGGAGGCTCTAACGTGGTTTGAAAGATGGCAGGCTTTGATCCACCAAGCACACCACAAGCTGATGGATTTGATAAGTTGGGTCGAAGACATGGCATCACAACAACTTTCAAACTGTCATTGTAAAAACCAGTGAAGACAAGAACTGTCCCAGGCAACAGCTGCAAAGTTGAATCCATACTACATGTACGATCAGTCACTACCACTGTGGTTTAAACAACTGGTTGCCTCCTCTTTTTAGTGTTGTTCGCATTTTTGACCCCAATCAGGTGCCTTTTTTGAGTTTTGACCCTCAGCTACTGAAATCAATCCCTGGATGGCAGAAAGAGCTTGACAAGGAACGTGCTGCTTACAAGAGCTTTGTCAAAGAGTGCCATATATCTTTGACTATGACTGTGTTTTGGGAGTCTGTTCCTGATTGGTTTTTACATCTCTACAACTTGGTGAAACGCTCCCTTACCATTCCAATCAATTCAGTGGGTACAGAATGTGCAGTCTCAGTGCACGGACAAGAGTTCACACTACAGAGACAGAGGATGTCATCTGCAACTGCCAGTAGATGCTGCATGCTAGTATTTAACAACTAACATCTATTGCTTCTATCAAGGGTAGCATTATTTAGTATTACTAAACTTTTTGTAGCATGCTAATAATAAGTTATGCTGATATTACTTCCATTTCATATTGTGTATACATTTATGTTCATAATGTATTTCAATTTAGATTAAAATTTAATACCTAGATTTATAACAATGCAGTAATTTATTTGATATTTCCACAGAGTTTGTGGTTTCATTATGCCAGTTTTTGCTTCTCGGCCAATCAGTGGTGAGAGGCAAGGTTGCCAGGGC